AATAACTAAAATACAAAATTAACGAGACTGTAATTTAAGCATAACACTGAAATAAAGGCTGAATCATTCGAAATTGTTCCTCTTTGCTCTTTTATTATACCAAAGGAAAGGATCTTCTTAAATATTCACAAAACTCATCATAAACTATCCTGTTAAAAAGCAAAGTTTCACGGTTCGGCGCATGCCCAAGTTTTCGCATGAGAAAGTACCTTTTTGGCGTTCTTGCATGCAGAACCATATTTAGTTTAGCAGTCTCAGACTACAGTTTGGGTAAGCAGAATGACCGATGCCTAAATTTCGCGGAAGATATCGACGGATGTACATAGAAAGTGTCTATTCTACTAGTGAACATTGAATTTGTTATTCGGACCGTAGAATGATGTCTGGACACACGCACTAGTTATCTAATGGCAGTGTTCATAACCATGGCCTGAGGTGTCATGCGGGGCACGATGAGGAATGATGATGAATGTTCATGACCAATGGAATCTAGCTGTACCCGGGAGAGGGTACATAGAAAAGTCATTCTTAAGAGAAATATCATCTCTATCGCGGTGTTTTCGCGACTAACCGCAAAACATTCAAACTGAAAATTTCCCACAGAAATTATCAGCTCTCTTTTGATTTTTTCATGAACAATGAAATCAAACGGGTTTAGAACGTTACAGTTTGCAAATGCGCCGAGACGTGAAACCATCCGACTCTAGACAGAATTTGAACATTCTCCTTGTTGAGCGGTAGAGCCAGCATTTCCATTCTAGAGGAAAACTTCCAGATACAATATAGATCTAACAAAGATGCAACAAAAGGAACTAGGGATCAAATCGGTGCCGTCACCAACTTTAAGACGTCTTCAGAGATTTTGTCTGAATTCGTCGCCTTAGATTTTCATGATTTAGCCAATAAAGAAATCGCTTTTGAAAATTCAGTTGTTTAATGTTCTTAGTTATATTCGGTCCCCTTAAAAATAACATAATCTAATTTATTTATTTTATTACTATAATTATAATTTTTTTCTTTTTGTAACCTCTGTTCTCGAAGATATTAGCTCTACAGCTACTCTGTAAATTTCGAGCGTAAATGAAGTATATATGTATGTATGTATGTATGTGCCAAAGTATGTACATGAAGATGAAATTCAACTCGGTGGGAAAGAGCTGTTGTTCTTACATTATGTTGTTGGTTAAGGGGACCGAACATAACTAAGAACATTAAACAAATGAATTTTTGTTGGCTAAATCATGAAAATCTAAGGCGATGAATTGAGACAAAATCTCTGAAAATGTCTTTTCATTCATTCATTCTGTTTATTTGCCTTTTTTACTTAATGTACAGTATTTATAAATATTTTAATGTGAGGCGAGGTGACCTCTAGAGACCATCAGGCTTTTAGTTTCTTTTAAAGTTCGTGAGGGCATCGATTTGATCCCTAGTTCCTTTTGTTGCATCTTTGTTAGATCTATATTGTATCAGGAAATTTTCCTCTAGAATGGAAATGCTCTAAGGTTACTCTACCGCTCAACAAGAACAAAGTTCAAATTTAAAGGATCGTTTCACGGTCGCGTCGGCGCATTTGCAAACTATAACATTCTAAGTCCGTTTGATTTCATTGTTTATGAAGCAATCAAAAGCGAGCTGATAATTTCTGTGGAAAATTTTCAGTTTGAATCTTTCGCGGTTAGTCGCGAAAATACCGCGATAAAGATAGTATTTTTCTTAAGAATGACTTTTGTATGTACCCTCTCCCGGGCACAGCTAGATTCCATTGGTTATGAACATTCATCATCATTCCTCATCATGCCCCGCAGGACACCTCAGGCCATGGTTATGAACACTGCCATTAGATAACTAGTGCGTGTGTCCAGACATCATTCTACGACCCGAATAACAAATTCAATGTTCTTTAGCAAAATATAGACACTTTTTAAGTACATCCGCCGATATCTTCCGCGAAATTTAGGCATCAGACATTCTACTGACCCAACACATTATAGTCTGTGGTTGCTAAACCGGCTAAATTTGCTTCAACTTACAAAAACGCCAAAAAGGTACCTTCTCATGCGAAAACTTGGGCATGCGGCGAACCGTGAAACTTTGCTTTTAAGCAGGATAGTTTATCATGAGTTTTATGAATATTTAAGAAGATCCGGTCTTATTCCTTTGTACAATCGTCAATTATGACAATTATGGGTCGCAACTTTTTCAGCTCTAACGGGATGGCTATAAAATTTTGTGAAAACTTGAATATTGCAATACTCCGAGCCCGGAGGAGGAGGCTCCGATATAAAAAGGACGGGGGGTGGTCGTCGTACCTTTTAGGGTTTAAAAAAGCAGTTTGGGTATACCGCTTAGGGTGCTCAGCATCAAAAGCTCCACAGCGGGAGCTTAGGGTATTGAGCCGAAAAAAAAAATATGACAGGAGATATGGTGTTGTTTTAGGACTTGTTACTTCTTAGGGGTGAGAAACGTCTCAAGCTACGCTCACAAAACAGGATTTTGGTACCTCTTAGGGGTTCTTTTCGAAATTTCCGACGCGCACCCCTGCCTTTCTATATGGGGTTCCCCCGGGACTCCCAGTAGGGCCCTAAAAGAATATAGTAATTAGCATCTTCTAAACGATTCGCTTGTACTCTTTCCACTCTGAGAAAGAGGGGACTACAGTATTCTAGATGTAGGCACAGAACGCCTAATTCTTCCGAGGGCGCAACTTTTGGTGTATTCCTTAGGGCCGATTTACACAGTACGACTTTGTTGCATGCGAGAAGCTTACGACAGACTTACGACATGACTTAGGACCATTTACACGCGCTCGACATTTTCACTCACAAAATTAAATATGTAAAAGTTTGCACCTGGATTTTCGGAGCGAAAGTTCTAACAAACAGTAAAAATTATTCTAGCTGTCCTGCGCTTTGGAAAAACTTCCTAAAGAGATGTTTTTCGCTTTAATCCGTTCAGTACTTTTCGAGAAACGTCTTCATGTGAATCAGTCAACAACACGTTCGTCCGCCATTTTGACGCAAGAACACTTTACCTCGTCCTCTACTCAGTAGAGATACGTCATTTTCTATCGACCTCAGCTAAGATTGACGCAGCGTTTTAAAACATGTTTTAAAATCCTACGACATTTTTTTTTTGACGTACACAACAGTCGTAAGCGAGTTGTAGGTTTGATTTACACGAAACAATTCATGTCGTAGGCCTGTCGCATGCGACAAAGTCGTACCGTGTAAATCGGTCCTCACGGAGCTTATTAGGAATGTGTTGATTGAAGGTTATCATGCTGTAGCCGTTTAACGCCAAAATGTTGGCCGGTCGTGTCTAGATGAAGGAAATCATGTTTTAGAAAGCATTAGAAACTGGCAATGTTACGACATTCCTTTTATTAGATCTTTTTATTTACAATGGAAAACACGACCAAAGATGTATTACAACATCGAGCATCCATTAGGACATAATAACCAGAAACCAAAGATGTATCACAACATCGAAATCACTGAAAGGTGTATTATAATCTCCTTATTGGAGTCCTAAAATAGCTAGAAATCAAAGACTGGATGTATTATAACATCGAGTACACATTGGAAATCAAAGATGTATTGCAAGTGCGAGAAAAAAAATTGACCTCTTTGAGGCTTTAGCAATATAAATCAAAGATTTATGATAACATTACGTGCATAGGAACAACCTTGAAGTTTCTTACATGACAAAGCAAATGCGGTATCCAGTACATCTACTTATGTTACATTATTAAAATTGTATTAGAGAGGTTTTCCCAAGTTGAATGTTGGTAAAATCACTCTGGACAAAAGTAAATAACATAGATATTACTCGCATGAACTAATCAGGACCCGAAGCAAGTACTTTAACTGGCGTCATGTGCGCGATTGGGTTTGGTTACTCACTAAAGGTGACATCCTATCGCAAAAGTGCTAATGGAAAAGTGAAACAAAAGGGAATTGCTTTCGTAAACCTCTGAATACTATTTACATCACGTTCCTTGCATTACATTTTTTTTTACCGTAAATCGCAATTATAATGGCATGACTGAATATTGCGATAGATCTACAAAGTCTCAATAATCACCTATAACCAAAATAATGAAACAAATAAATATGCCTGGATTTATTAAAACAGTGTAAATGAAACTCGGTCTAATTAACATAAGCGTTTTTCTCTCTAAAGTAGGCGATATGAAAACCTTAAAAGAATGCCAGTCTTTTTTCCTCCTTCTTTTTGGTCCTTGTTTTTGTACACTTCCAATGATTTTTTCATCTCTTGGAGCGATTTTCAGGCCTTTAGGTGTCATTAAGTCAATTTTAGTTGCTCCGGCACTTGAAGTAAAGCAACGAACCTTTCTCTAACACCGTTGAATTGTAACAAATCCAGTCATAAATATAACATCTACTGTGTTACAGTTAGCACAATGATTCAATTCAGCGCCTCCTTCCAGTGAGAGCACCCAAGCCTTATCATAATTCTGATAAGCGCGCGCAATTAGTTCAGTCTCCCCACTGCTTTTACAATCGGTGTCATCAAGTCACTACAGTACATTGAGAACATTGGTTTTATGTCAGTTCCTTCTGAAGAGCTCCCGTCACGCCACATTTCTCAAAAAAGGGAGGGGAAAAAAAAAAAAAAAAAAAAAAAAAAAAAAAAAAAAAAAAAANGAATAAATCGAATGACTGTAGAAACATGGCGCCCTTGGGTTAACAGGGGTAGTCGATAACCTCTGAAGATGAAAAAAAAAAAAAGAAAAAAAAAAGCCTTTTCCATAAGAGCCACCATTCTGATAAGCACACTCCTTTCAGATGTCCAAAAATAAAAATAGTCATAAAAATAATGTAAAATAAGCGTCTAAAAGCAGCTTATGCCGAAATGAAATCAAGTTTAATCTTGAGACGTTTGCTAACTGAGTAAAAGCGAACCTTCAATATTATAACGAAAGGCCATGTAACGACTGAGCTTATTTATATATAACACAGCTAAAGCGTGTGACAAGGAGTGCCCCAAGCCTAAAATGTACTTAATCACGGCTTATCGTGTTTTGATTAATAAACGGCAAGATATCCTCATAACGCAACTATATTTGCATCACATGTCACGGAGAGGAATAACTGGAGCTTGGTTCGCCTGCTGAGGTCGTTTGCAAAAGACAGCAACCAGAGCTCTTCTGAAGTCTGGCATTCGAGCAGTGTATATGATTGGATTCACAAGCGAGTTTACATAATACAGAGCGATCAGCGCGAGATTTAACCGACGAATTGGTATGCTGGATAATGAACTAATAATATCAGTTGTATAATAGAGAAAACTGCTTATCACAAATGGGAGCCACATTAGCATAGATACAACAGTCACAATCAACAATGTCACGGTCAGTTTTCTTTCTCTACTGGCTGCTCTGTGGTGTTGAGGCTGCGCTCCACAACGGACTTTAATAACAATGGCCACGTACGAAACAGAAATAATCAACAGACAAATTGAATTAAATGAATTCCATAAGTAAAAAAAATGACTTCGTTGTTTAAATTGCTCTAGAACTCCAACCCCAGCTGATACCAACCCAGCTGTAATCCAAGTGATAGCAAAAATTAAAACATAAATCCATTTTTGCATAACAAGATGCCTCAGCGGCCAAAACGTCGCGTGAAGCCGCTCCAAAGAAATCGCACTGATGTTAGTTACAGATGCAACAGGAAACAAAACATAAAGAACTATCATATAGACTTCTAGCTTATCAGGTAAACCGTCCTTCCATAAATTACAATAGTATTGTCCAACGAGACCAGCAAAATTTCCGGTGGCAGTTACCCCAACCAACATATCTATAACTGCCAAATTTATCACCAGGTACGTGCTACGCTTGCGGAAACTACGTTTTTTCATAAAAACAATTATACTAACGAGATTTAGTATTATTATAGCGAGAGACAACATCAACGCTACAGCAAGCCAGGGTACGCATTCAGCAAACGAAAACATCAGTTTTGCTGCTGGAAGAAACAGCTTTTCTACCTGTTGAGAGAAATACATTTCTATTAGTTATAAGTCTTAACATTCTTTTAATTATAAGTTTTAGCATTCTTTTAATTATTGCTTGAAAGTACTTAACGAGTAACGAGTATAGTGACGCCGGAGATATGTTAAATAATCATGGCTTGGGAAAATGTCAACGAAATTGATGGCATTGCACTAACCCCGCATGTTAAAAAACTTTCATCAATTTCCTTTTGCAACTCGTACTGCTCATAAAAGATTTAAATACTGGTCGATGAAATTCTGCTGAGGTTGCATTTATCGGAGTGAGCTTTTTGTCTGTAAGCAATTGTTATGTTAGAATACTCACTCTTTTAATTGTGTAAATACTAGTTGTGTTTAGTTTTAAATATTGTTCAAGTTTGCAACCTAACAGAAACCATTACACTTAATCAACGGCTGTTTTTGACCCACTGACCCAATAAAAACTGTTGCCGCGGAAGCGTTTGTTTAAGGTTACAGTATACCTTCGGGTCGGCAATTTTCTTCAAATTTGGATTTTTGAGTCAAAATAGTGGTCGAAGAATAATCTCTAATTTCTGAAAAAAA